AGTTCAGTAGTTCAGCGGTTACCTTCCTGCAGGAGCGGTACCTATTGATCTACTCACATTTGCATGTTTTCGAACTGCTAGGTTGGCAGAAGCTAAGGCTCATAGCGGGAACTCACCCCGCTATCAGCCCTAGCTATCTTCCTGCAGGAGCGGTACCTATTGATCTACTCACATTTGAATGTTTTTGAACTGCTAGGTTGGCAGAAGCTAGACCTAACAGCGGGAGCTCACCCCGCTCCCCGTATTCAAACCGCCGACCTTTTGGCCAGCAAGTTCAGTGGTTACCTTCCTGCAGGAGCGGTACCTATTGATCTACTCACATTTGCATGTTTTTGAACTGCTAGGTTGGCAGGAGCTGGGGCTAAAAGCAGGAGCTCACTGGATTTGAACCGCTGACCTTTTGGTCAGCAAGTTCAGCAGTTCAGCGGTTACCTTCCTGCAGGAGCGGTACCTATTGATCTACTCACATTTGCATGCTTTCAAACTGCTAGGTTGGCAGAAGCTAGGGCTGATAGCGGGAACTCGCCCTGCTATCAGCCCTAGTTACCTTCCTGCAGGAGCGGTTCCTATTGATCTACTCACATTTGCATGATTTTGAACTGCTAGGTTGGCAGGAGCTGGGGCCGACAGCAGGAGCTCACCTCGCTCTCTGGATTCGAACCGCTGACCTTTTGGCCAGCAAGTTCAGCGGTTACCTTCCTGCAGGAGTGGTACCTACTGATCTACTCACATTTGCATGCTTTCGAACTGCTAGGTTGGCAAGAGCTGGGGCTGACAGCGGGAGCTCACCCTGCTCCCTGGATTCGAACCGCCAACCTTTTAGCCAGCAAGTTCAGCGGTTACTTTCCTGCAGGAGCGGTACCTATTGGTCTCACATTTGCATGTTTTCGAACTGCTAAGCTGGGGCTAACAGCGGGAGCTCACCCCGCTTCCCATATTTGAACCGCCGACCTTTTGGCCAGCAAGTTCAGCAGTTCGGCGGTAACCTTCCTGCAGGAGCTGTGCCTATTGATCTCACATTTGCTAAGCTGGGGCTAACAGCGGGAGCTCACCCCGCTCTCTCGATTTGAACCTGCAACCTTTTGATTGGGACGTTCTGCAGCTCAGCGGTTTAACCCGCTGTGCCACTACTCTATTGTTGATCCTAAGAATAGTAAGAGACGCAACGCAGTTTTCAAGGCAGCACTCTCGCCCTGACCTTCCTCCTCCGTAATGACGGATCTGGCATTACCTTTCTCCTTGAGGGATCCGAGCCTTTTGTCCTTTGTTCTCCCTTCTGCTCAGCGGAGCCAAATCTCGATTCTGATCTTCCTCCGGTTGCAAACTGGGCTCCGGCTTGCGGGCCTTCGAACACAGGGCTCTTTTTGTCTCTCGGTGGGAACCGGGGGGTCTTCTTCTTCTTTGGACCTTTTCCTAGCCGATCGTGACGCTGCGCTTTCCAACCCTTTCTCCTTTCATTCCTTCTCTTCGTTCAAAAGGCCCTTGTTCTTCCCAGGGTCGGAGCAGGAGAAACCTGAGCAAAAGGCGAGTCCTTCGGAGTTGGGTTCCCTTTTTGGACTCAATGGACAACATTCGACATCAATCAGAACTAATAATAATAATAATAATAATAATAATAATAATAATAATAATAATAATATGAGGATTTAAAGATCTAGCTTGCTGTCGACCTTTGCAGCCCGAAAGACAGTTGCATCTCTCAAGTAGGGAATTTAACTAATTTACGACGCCATAAAACTCTCCAGCAGCTGTGCAAAAGAATGAGGAAGTACGAAATTTAGGTACCGCTTATGCGGGCTAATTTACGACGCCATAAAACTCTCCAGCAGCTGTGCAAAAGAATGAGGAAGTACGAAATTTAGGTACCGCTTATGCGGGCTAATTTACGACGCCATAAAACTCTCCAGCAGCTGTGCAAAAGAATGAGGAAGTACGAAATGTAGGTACCACTTATGCGGGGAGGCTAATTTAACTAATTTACGATGCATTAAACTCTCCAGCAGTTGTGCAAAAGTACGAAATTTAGGTACCGCTTATGCGGGCTAATTTACGACACCATAAAACTCTCCAGCAGCTGTGCAAAAGAATGAGGAAGTACGAAATGTAGGTACCACTTATGCGGGGAGGCTAATTTAACTAATTTACGATGCATTAAACTCTCCAGCAGTTGTGCAAAAGTACGAAATTTAGGTACCGCTTATGCGGGCTAATTTACGACACCATAAAACTCTCCAGCAGCTGTGCAAAAGAATGAGGAAGTACGAAATTTAGGTACCGCTTATGCGGGCTAATTTACGAGGCCATAAAACTCTCCAGCAGCTGTGCAAAAGAATGAGGAAGTACGAAATTTAGGTACCGCTTATGCGGGCTAATTTACGACGCCATAAAACTCTCCAGCAGCTGTGCAAAAGAATGAGGAAGTACGAAATTTAGGTACCGCTTATGCGGGCTAATTTACGACGCCATAAAACTCTCCAGCAGCTGTGCAAAAGAATGAGGAAGTACGAAATTTAGGTACCGCTTATGCGGGCTAATTTACGACGCCATAAAACTCTCCAGCAGCTGTGCAAAAGAATGAGGAAGTACGAAATTTAGGTACCGCTTATGCAGGGAGGCTAATTTAACTAATTTACGACGCCATAAAACTCTCCAGCAGCTGCAAAAGAATGAGGAAGTACGTAATTTAGGTACCGCTTATGCGGGCTAATTTACGACGCCATAAAACTCTCCAGCAGCTGTGCAAAAGAATGAGGAAGTACGAAATTTAGGTACCGCTTATGCGGGCTAATTTACGACGCCATAAAACTCTCCAGCAGCTGTGCAAAAGAATGAGGAAGTAGGAAGTGTAGGTACCGCTTATGCGGGGAGGCTAATTTAACTAATTTACGACGCCATAAAACTCTCCAGCAGCTGTGCAAAAGAATGAGGAAGTACGAAATTTAGGTACCGCTTATGCAGGCTAATTTACGATGCCATAAAATTCTCCAGCAGCATGCAAAAGAATGAGGAAGTACTCCATTGGTGTCAAAAGTGGACGGTGAAGCGACAGCTCCCCCGGTGGCCGAAATTCAAAAAGCATACTCTCATGAAGTTGGAAACTTAAATAGCCTCTGCGTGTCTGTCTATATATGTTGTGTGTCTATGGCATTGCATGTTTGACATGTATATGTGCATTGTGATCCGCCCTGAGTCCCCTGCGGGGTGCAAGTTCAGCAACTCAGCGGTTACCTTCCTGCCAGAGCGGTACCTATTGATCTACTCACATTTGCATGTTTTCGAACTTCTAGGTTGGCAGGAGCTGGGGCTGACAGCGGAAGCTCACCCTGCTTCCCGGATTCAAACTGGCAACCTTTTGATCAACAAGTTCAGCAGCTCAGCAGATACCTTCCCGGCGGAGCGGTACCTATTGGTCTACTCACATTTGCATGTTTTCGAACTGCTAGGTGGGCAGAAGCTGGGGCTGACAGCAGGAGCTTAGCCCACTGCCTGGATTCAAACCGCTGGCCTTTTGGTCAACAAGTTCAGCAGCTCAGCGGTTACCTTCCTTCAGGAACCGTACATATTGATCTACTCACATTGGCATGCTTTCGAACTGATAGGTTGGTAGAAGCTGGGGCTGACAGCGGGAGCTCACCTCACTCCCCAGATTCCAACTGGAAACCTTTTGGTCAGCAAGTTCAGCAGCTCAGCGGTCGACTTCCCGCTAAAGTGGTACCTATTGATCTACTCATATTTGCATGTTTTCGAACTGCTAGGTTGGCAGAAGCTGGGGCTGACAGCAGGAGCTCATCCCACTGACCAGATTCGAACTGGAAACCTTTTGGTCAGCAAGTTCAGCAGCTCAGCGATCAACTTCCCGCTAAAGTGGTACCTATTGATCTACTCATATTTGCATGTTTTCAAACTGCTAGGTTGGAAGAAGCTGGGGCTGAGAGCGGGAGCTCATCCCATTGCCTAGATTCGAACCGACGACCATTAGGTCAGCAAGCTCAGCAGCTCAGCGGTCACCTTCCCGCTAAAGTGGTACCTATTGATCTACTCATATTTGCATGTTTTCGAACTGCTAAGTTGGCAGAAGCTGGGGCTGACAGTGGAAGCTCGCCCTGCTTCCCGGATTCAAACTGGCAAACTTTTGATCAACAAGTTCAGCAGCTGAGCTGAACTTCCTGCCGGAGTGGTACCTATTGATCTACTCACATTTACATGTTTTCGAACTGCTAGGTTGGCAGAAGCTGGGGCTAACAGCGGGAGCTCACCCCACTGCCCAGATTTGAACCGCCGACCTTTTGGTCAGCAAGTTCAGCAGCTCAGCGGTCACCTTCCCGCTAAAGTGGTACCTATTGATCTACTCATATTTGCATGTTTTCGAACTGCTAGGTTGGCAGAAGCTGGGGCTGACAATGGGAGCTTCCCCAGATTCGAACCTGTGACTTTTCGATCAGCAAGTGCAGTTTATTATTTTATTATCAAATTAAAAGCTCCGCCTTCCTGGCTGTCTTCAACCAATTGAGTTGCGGGTTTTGAAATGACAAGGCTCCGCACCAATAGCTGACAGCGAGAGAGATAAAGGCCCGCCCCTTAGGTTTTCCTTTCAGGAAAGCAAACTGCCAATCAAATTAAAAGCCCCGCCTTCCTGGCTGTCTTCAACCAATTGTGTTGCGGGTTTTGAAATGACAAGGCTCCGCACCAATAGGGGACAGCGAGAGAGATAAAGGCCCGCCTCTTATAGGAAAGTAAACCGCCAATCAAATTAAAAGCTCCGCCTTCCTGGCCGCCTTGAACCAATTGAGCGGCGTGTTTTGAAGTGAGTGACATAAATGAGAAGCAATCGGCAACGACGTTGAAGCGAAAACAGCCAATGGCGTGCGGCGAAGCGGGAGGAGCCGACGCCCAGTCGAAAGCGGATGAGGCGGAGCTCGAGCGTTTGGAAATACTCACTCAGGAGAACTTCTTTGAGCGACAGATGAGGCGTCCAATGGGAGGGTGAGTAGGCGGGGCTTGCGATGATTGGCGTCCCTGCGAACCAATGGGGCTTGAGAAAAACGGGGGGCGCCTCGCGATGCAGCCAATGCGCGTGGAGGTGGGGGCTCTCCGAAGCAGGAAGCGGCCCGAGGAAAGGGGAGGCCGCTCCCCGGAGTAGGGCTTGTGGAGACGCTGGGAAGCCAAGCTGGGACCGGGCCCCGACCCCGCAGGGAGGACGGAGCCTCGCAGGTAGGCCTCAGGCGCTGAGGGAGAAGGGGAGGGGCCTCGGAAGGCCCGCCCACAGGCCACAAGGTGGGGGAGGGGAAGGAGAGGAGTAAACTTAGGCCCTCCAGGTGCTTGGGACTACAAGTTGAAGTCCAAAACACCTGGAGGGCCCAAATTGGCCCATGCCTGGATATCTGTATGAATATATAGATTCTGTGTGGGAGGTTTGGCCCAATTCTATCGTTGGTGGGGTTCAGAATGCTCTGTGATTGTAGGTGAACTATAAATCCCAGCAACTACAACTCCCAAATGTCAAGACTCTATTTCCCCCAAACTCCACCAGTGTTCACATTTGGGCATATTGAGTATGTAGAGTTTGGTTCAGATCCATCATTGTTTGAGTCCACAGTGCTCTCTGGATGTAGGTGAACTACAACTCCCAAATGTCAAGGTCTATTTTCCCCAAACTCCATCTGTGTACATATTTGGGTTGAGTATTTGTACCAAGTTTGGTCCAGATCCATCATTGTTTGAGTCCACAGTGCTCTCTGGATGTATGTGAACTACAACTCCCAAACTCAAGGTCAATGCCCACCAAACCCTTCCAGTATTTTCTGTTGGTCATGGGAGAACTCTGTGCCAAGTTTGGTTCAATTCCATCATTGGTGGGGTTCATAATGGTTTTTGATTGTAGGTTGAACTATAAATCCCAGTAACTACAACTCCCAAATGTCTATTTTTCCCAAGCTCAACCATGAATCCCAGTAACTGCAACTTCCAAATGTCAGGATTCTATTTCCCCCAAACTCCACCCGTGTTCACATTTGGGCATATTGAGTATTCGTGCCAAGTTTGGTCCAGATCCATCATTGTTTGAGTCCACAGTGATCCCTGGATGGAGGTGAATTACAACCCCCAAACTCAAGGTCAATGCCCACCAAACCTTTCCAGTATTTTCTGTTGGTCATGGGAGAACTGTGTGCCAAGTTTGGTTCAATTCTATCGTTGGTGGCGCTCAGAATGCTCTGTGATTGTAGGTGAACTATAAATCCCAACAACTACAACTCCCAAATGTCAAGATTACTATAAATATTATGCATACTATACTATAAATATTACGCATACGTTACTATAAATATTATGCATATTTGTATGGATAGCCATTGGTGTGAATATCTATGAATATAGCTGAGCATATATCTGAATGTGTGTTTGTGTATTTTCCCCACACTCCACCAGTGTTCACATTTGGTCATAGTGAATATTTGTGTAGAGTTTGGTTCAGATCCATCATTGTTTGAGTCCACAGTCATCTTTGGATGTAGGCGAACTACAACTCCCAAACTCAATGTCAATGCCCACCAAAGACTTCCAGTATTTTTTCTTGGTTATGGAGATTCTGTGTGCCAAGTTTGGTTCAATTCCATCGTTGGTGGGGTTCAGAATGCTCTTTGATGGTAGGTGAACTATAAATCCCAGCAACTGCAACTCCCAAATGTCAAGGCCTATTTCCCCCAAATTCCACCAGTGTTTACATATGGGCATATGGAGTATTCGTGCCAAATTTGGTCCACATCCATCGTTGTTTTTGAGTCCACAGTGATCTCTGGATGGAGGTGAACTACGACTCCCAAACTCAAGGTCAATGCCCACCAAACCCTTCCAGTATTTTCTCTTGGTCATGGGAGAACTGTGTGCCAAGTTTGGTTCAATTCTATCGTTGGTGAGGTTCAGAATGTTCTCTGATTGTAGGTGAACTATAAATCCCAACAACTACAACTCCCAAATGACAAAATCAATTTTTTTGAGTGATGGACATACATTGGGTTGTTAGGTGTCTTGTGTCCAAATTTGGTGTCAATTCGTCCAGTGGTTTTTGAGTTCTGTTAATCCCACAAACTAACATTACATTTTTATTTATATAGATATAGACACACCACACACACACATATATATATACACACTATAGAGAATTATATGGTTAACCAACCATGTGTGTGTATAATCTATGAATATTTGCATGATAGCAAAATATTTGTATATATTATATGCATATATATATAGTATATTGTATATACGTATAATTATAATATAATGCAATTCAATATAATACTAGTAATAATATAATATTATAATTATAATTATATATTTACATTACATAGAATATTACTAATAATATTACAATATGGTATAGTTCAATATAGTAATATATAATACTGATATTGTGCTATGCTAATAATATATATTGTATGAAAATATATCTTGTAAGCCCCTCTTCGGGGTGAGAAGGGTGGCATATAAATGTCATAAGTAAATAAATAATATATGTGTGTATGTATATATATGTGCTTATGTATATATTTATTCTATAACTATTTGCATGATATGTGTGTGTGTATATAATACATATTTGCATAATAGCCATATGTGCATGTGTGTGTATGTATATTCTATAAATATTTGCATGATAGCCAACGATATGTGTGTGTGTGTGTGTATATATAATTATATTCTATAAATATTTGCATATTAGCCAACCATTTGTGCATGTGTGTGTATATATATTCAATAAATATTTGCATGATAGCCAATGATATGTGTGTGTGTGTGTGTGTATATATAATTATATTCTATACATATTTCCATGATAGCCAACCATGTGTGTATGTATATAGTATACATGATAGCTAACAATATGTATGTGTGTGCGCGTGTGTGTATATATATATATATTCTATAAGTAATTACCTGATAGCCAACCATATATTTGTGTGTGTATGTGTATGTATATATATTCAATAAATATTTGCATGATAGCCAACCGTGTGTGTATATATATATATATATACACATTTGGCTATCATTTGCATGGTAGCCAAGTGTGTGCGTGTGTATATATGTGTGTATATATATATATATATATATATATATATATATGTTCTATAATAATAATTGTGTATATGGGTTTTGTGTGTGTGTGTGTGTGTGTGTGTGTGTGTGTGTGTGTGTATATATATATATATATATATATATTCTATAAATATTTACATGAATATCAATCATATGAATATTCTATAGATATTTGCATGAATAACTAACATATATGTGTGTTACTATATACAATATAATAACAATAATAATTATATTTCTTCTCATAGTTCAAGGCAGGTTGCATTGCTAAAAACTTGAATGAATAGCTAACGCTGTCAATATATGTGTGTGTGTGTACTTATATTACTATAAATATTACGCATATTTGTATGAATAGCCATTGATGTGAATATCTTTGAATATAGCTAAGCATATATCTGAATGTGTGTTTCTATGACTACGTATATATTTGTGTGTTTGTAGTAATTTGGTATCATATATATGGATAGCTATACATATGAATATCTAAATATCTGTATGGCAGATATACCGTAACAAGATGGGCTTTTGGCTTTATTAATCTGATAGTTTAATTGATTTTTCACTTAGACACTGCAAACATTTAATTGTGTCTGATTTAGATGCTATTACATTGTTATAGTTTTTAGGGTTAGCCACTTTGAGTCTCCTTTGGTATAGAGATAATAATAATAATAATAATAATAATAATAATAATAATAAATCACACTGTCATTTTGCTACTGTTATGAATCACCATGTAAATATCCAATATGCAGGATGTATTTTCATTCGCTGGACCAAATTTGGTACAAATACCCAAACGACCACATTTGAATACTGTAGAGGTAGAGCACTGTGGACTCAAACAATGATGGATTTGGACCAAACTTGGTACAAATACTCAATATGCCCCAATGTAAACACAGCTGGGGTTTGAGGGAAATAGACCAGGGCTTGAGTTTTGGAGTTGTAGTTCACCTACATCCAGAGAGCACTGTGGACTCAAACAATGATGGATCTGGACCAAACTTGACGTAAATCCTCAATATGCCCTATGTGAACACTGGAGGAGTTTGGGGAAAATAGACCTTGACATTTGGGAGTTGTAGTTGCTGGGATTTATAGTTCACCTACATCAAAGAGCATTCTGAACTCCACCAACTATGGAAATGGCACACAGAACTCCCATTACCAACAAAAACTAGGAGGTTTGGTGGGCATTGACCTTGAGTTTGGGAGTTGTAGTTTACCTAAATCCAGAGAACACTGTGGACTCAAACAATGATGGATCCGGATCAAACTTGGCACGAAGACTCAATATGCCCAAATGTAAACACTGGTGGAATTGGGGGGAAATAGACCTTGACATTTGGGGATTTGCTGGGTTTGGAGAAAAAGGAAACCAGACATTAGCCTTGTTCCAAGCTCTCTCTATCTCTTTGCACTGCTAATGCTGGAACCGGTTTTCGGTGTGTTTAAATGGCCCCGGTACCAGCCTTCCTATTTTATGTTGCTTTATTAAAATAAGCCTGCTCTCATCCCTCTCCACCCAGCCCTGCCTCCTGGGTGTTTTGGTTCAAGTTAGCAGATGGTGGGAGCTTAATTCTGTTAAAGACACTGGGATTTAATCACTTGCCTGGAACGACAGTTGTGTTATAATCGGGAATGTTGGAGCTGTTGCAATGGCAGGGAGGGCCATGGTTTGTCATCCCTCTTGCCTTCCTAAATGGGAATATAGAAGGATGGAGGGAATGCCAGAATTGCCAGTGGGTCAAGGATTGAGTCCAGCCTTTTCTAGCCTGGTTCCTTCCAGGGGACTTTGGGCTATAATCTGTATAAATAAAAATGTAATGTTCGTTTGTGGGAATAACAGAACTCAAAAACCACTGGGGGAATTGACACCAAATTTGGACACAAGACACCTAATCCAACGAGTGACCATCACTCATAAAAACACTGAAAAACACAGCAGAAGAGACCTTTAAAGGCCAAAAAAAAAAAACATGATAGCATGCGCAAAACCACATATATATACACAAACACACATTCACATATACACACACAAAAACACAGAAAGGAGAAGAGGGAAGGAAGGAAGGAGAGAAAGAAGGAAATAAAGGTAAAGAAGGAAG